TGCGTCTTCGTAACTTCCTGTTGTGTTTTCGTGAGGTGCATGTTGCTGATGGTCGTCAAAAAGGATGAAATGACTTCACTGTTTCTCAGAATAGATTGGATTCATTCACAAGAGAAAATTTCCACTTAGAGTCAAAAAATGGCTTCATAAATGAGGAGACCGTCGAACAGATTATGGCCTTGAGCCGATCAATCCGCCATCACGGTGGAGACATAAATTACGAGCGAAACGGCGACTACGTGAGTGGATGAAAATATTCAAACTTTGTTTCTAGATAGCTATAAGAGGCGTGAACAGTGAAAGCATTTCCAGTCCTCCGCATTCCTTTTAGAATACACATCAAAGCTATTCTCCAGTAAGATTTTGTGCAACTCAAGAAGGTTTAGTTCAGCACGATGACAACACAGACACTTACTAACGCCTTCATTGTTAGGTGAGCTGGTAAACTTAACCAGTAAACTGACCTGCATTTGCTACCCTAGAACATCCAAACTCAGCGCAACTTGGACATTTCTCTGCGAATGGGAAACCCCTACTGCAGTTGAGAACTGCTCTTATCTACAATGCTCAAGGCAAACGAACCGTGGAATGACTCAGCGGATGGGAGGTTAGCCTCACATCACAAGCCTTTGTTCTTCGGCCGCCCCTTACAGATCTGCCAACTTCGGTTGAAACTGTGTGTCGACGGATATGCCAGAATATAACAGCAGTAGATTTGAAAACGAAAGTTATTAAGTGAATTCTCTGTGTATATGGAAGTAAGAACTTAGCAAGCACAAATAGGCGTTTGGTTCCTATGCACGCTGATCTCACCTCTCATTTATACCATCAACTCTCATCGTGAATTATGGGGCCAATCCAAACATTCTTACCACTGGCTGTCTTCCATTTGGAACTAAATGATGTACCCAAAACATTATGACAGACCACGTAAACCAGGAACTGAGTCATTTTGCGCTTTTACAAATATGTTTTGATTATCTGAAGAGCGCCCATAAAGGGGAATACTAAAACGTAGCTGTCAGGGAGGTTGTCTACCCGAAACTAGTCCCAGAATACTCGAAACTTACTGAGACCTTCAAGCCCCACCAAAATCACATTGGGACTACCACCAAGCCTCCGGGCCAGAAGGGCTAGCTACCGATCGGTAATCAATCAGTTCAGCAACGGCCGATAATGATGAGTGTTCAGGCATGTCATAGAAGCAACAGCTGACGAGGATGAGTGATCGGGTATGTCACAAAAGTAAGGCCTACCACTCGCTCAGCGCCGATCGGAGAGCCTGGATTCGAAGTCAGATGTGAGATTTCAATACTATTCGTAAAGTTTGCACTCGCTTATTTGCAGTGACGCCGTTGTGTTTCTTGTTGGCGTCTTTCTGGCACTAAGGCACTGCAGGGGGGATAGCTGTTAGTTACGACAGCATCATGTCTTTTCAGTGGGTTCTTTTTGGAAAAATCACTTACTGGGTCACGACTGGCGGTGGATCATGATGTGGGCATCCCAAGAGCTCCTTCTTCGAGGATTTCGATCATGATGTCTCCCAGAATGGAGTGAAGTCCGGGTGCGACAATTTAACTTATGTTCCTCGCATTGCGAACGTCTGCATTGTTCTGCCTTCAACTTTTGTTGACTGAACTACGGACGTGGAATTGTCGCATGTTATTTGTGAATCGAAGCATAACTCCGCAATTAGTTCAGTTCAGACAGCTATATTTACCAACGCCAACCAGTATAACCTTCGAACTAAGGACCAATCAGTAGACAGGAACAAGCAAATGGACTTTCAGTTGTTGAATCTGAGTCTCGGCAACTAACAGTTTGCTCGCAGACGAAGGTGCATCGCCACCTTTTACTTTTTGCAAAGAATTGGGATAAGGTAATTCTGAAGCAAAATGTGTTTCAGCAAGACCTCGACAGGGCACTGCTCGAGTTGAAAAGCCAAGTTACAGTTTTGACAGCGATTTCTTCTTCGGGCTAAGATAGTATGTTCACAGTCACCACCAGGATAAACAACCTTCAACCTGTCAGAGTTTTCAGGAAGCTTGTGAGTAGTTTCCTTTATGAAAATATAGGGTGACATTTCGAATATCGTGCCAACTGAAGCATGTACAGCACATTTAGCTGTAGAATATCATGAACGAGAGATTCAGTTGAGTCTCTCGTGAAAACCACATTGATTTGCAAATAAGTGTATTTATCGAAAAGAGTCCAATTTGAGTTCAAGTAGAACATAAGGTTGACGGAAACTCGGGGACTGCGCCTACTTGATGAGCCCCAAAAAAGGCAAAACTGGTCGTGGGCTGTCGAAAAGTTTTCAGTAACCTTGTGAGTAGTGTCCTTTATGAATGTCTTCAATATAAAGATTGGTCATTAACATTTATGAGCATGTTGCGCGTATCAATCTCATCCCTTTGGAACAACATGACTAGAATTTTACACAAGTATAGGGTAAACTTTCCACCCACACTAAATTGTGCAGTTCCATTTTTCCTGGTTTACTGTTCTGAGAAGGATAAATGATAAGATGATTGAGGTGAAGAACCTACTTGAATATCCCTTAAATTGATAGTTCAGAACCGTTGTGAACAATTTTGTCAGGAATTCAGTGTACGAACAGATTGCGGACCGCGGAGCATATTATTGCAGGTCGTCAGTCTCCTTGGACTGCTAGAAAATGGCGAGTAGGCGGACGAATTTTCCTCAGCTCAGCAGTCAGTGCATTCGTCAACGGGGGGAGAAAGCCCAGCCAATTGATACCTTCTTAACAAATCCAGGTGGCTGGCATTTTTCCCTTTGGAATGAGCACAGTTTTGGGGTGTGTTGATAAGGAACGAGTCAAGCGGCACCTTAAATCTATCTTTTGTGGTTTTGTCAGTAATATTTGGTAGTCTCGTGGGGAGTGTGACAGTTCCCACCCAGCTTGTCATGGCATTCTTAGCTGTTACATTGAATTCACCAGTATGTCTCCGGAGTGTGTGCACTGAGTAAAGTTTCAATTAATTCAAACGATTCGGTATTTGGCCCGAGCCCGTAACAAATTTAGTACCCCATTGTCGCACTTCTTCTGACGGTTGGCGAGGAAAGTAGTACTGCAACTGGTTGTTTGTGGGTGACCTACAATGAAGAGATTCCTGAGCGATTTAGATGGCTATTCAGTTAACTCCTCATTTGCTATCCTATTTATATTTTGGTCATATTGGGTATATGTTGTGCTCGCTACGATGACCCGCATATCAGCGCCACGATTAAGCGTTATGAGCGAAAGTTTGTTTATCAGTCGGAAAAACTCCAGTCATCCGTGTGTTTTTGCGCAAGCTGTTTCTTGTGATCTGTGTGATCATCAAGACAACAGTCATTCCACGTACTTGAAGTAATTACTCCTCTTTGAAAACCGAGCACTTAAATCTACACCTTCCCATGCGAATAAACAATTCGTACTACCATATCTCGACAACTCGTTCCTGTTAACCAATCGATATTAAACGACCAGTTCATGCTCTAACTGTAAGTGAACGTTTACCTACCTCACCCCGAGAATGGGCCGGGCTGTTTGTACGGAATCATGAATTATGGTCACTTCGCCGGTATTCACGCCCATCTGTATTGCACTCGTGTGGATGTGAGCTAAAAGGGTCTGTCCATGTCAGCAAGAAGTTCAGCCTGAGAATTACAAAATAGTAAACTCGATCACTGTGCTTTCAGATGAACATGTATTGCTATGCTAATCTGAGCTTCCATTATTCAAAGGTTACACTTGGACAAACTTCCGCACGAAAGTTCTCCCTTTTTATCAGGCTAATACCGTTGTGTGAATGGGTCAAGGAGGTAAGCGTGGAATCTAGTGAACCCATTCATTGACGGTCTTGTCTTCAAAACCATTGAGTGTGTCGGTTTTCCCTCACCTTTGTATGGCAACTCTCACGATGGGAACGTGAATCACATGCCTGGGCGTCCGTTTCTATGGGTTTCTTGGGATGACTTTGCTACCTGACGAAACCAGACGCCATCTGTTTTGTACTCCAGCGCGGTGTTGTTTTGATTATTTACCAAAGTTTCGCTGGGTGAAAAAGGGCCTCGGCAGCCCATTATTCCTCCCTCCCCAAGCCACAATCTAACGACCAACCGGTCTGGAGTTTCCGCTCAGTCAAACAACGGTCATGAATCATGTTTCCGGAGAACATTTATCAAACCTCCTGTGTTCAGACGTGGACACAACCGTCATTCAGTGATCGACCAACCTATCGATCCCTAGGTCAGAACGTAAAATGTTCCGCAGCTCCGTTTGCTTTTACAGTGTCCAAACAAAGAAATGAGGACGGATAAAATAATTGAAACCTTTAGAATTATTCTTCAATCTTCGACAGTGAAATGTTTCCTCGAAACGGGACTAAAACGTCCCGAACTCACACTAGAATTACCTAACTTAGGAATAGACTAACGATCTAGTTAGCCCACCTCTCTTGCCTCCAGTCCTTAAATTTCGGCAGCATTGTCTTCTTATATCTTTTCAGTGTTGTTGAAACGAAATTTGTAGTTAGTGCCGGGAACGGAAGCTCTCTTATACAGGTCGGTACTTCACTGAATCAAAGGAAATCACAATGAATTCCAGTTCACCTGTTTGAAACCTAACCTGCTTTTTTCACAAATGAATGATCGGACAAAGATGTAGTTTTTCACACTGCAAAATGGCAAAGCCAAATTTGTTTCGCCAGACTACTGGAGGTATTAAATGTGAGGGGATGAATCCGATGAAAGACCGAAAGTGAAGAGGCGACCTCAACGTTGAACAGAATACCATAAAATCTTACTCGACAGACTTCTGGATAATGTCAACTCCTCAAGGTTTCTGTAGTAAATCATGGTTTATACGTCCACTTGCTAAGCCGCTGCCTTAGAAAAATGGGTTTACCCGAAAATTAGAAAAAGCTTTGTGATGTTGAGTTATGTCTGACCAACCATGGACATGTTAGATAACGTGACGGGGTGGGAAAGCCGTCCGCTTGTCCTTGAGGTCTTATCGATCTCGTGAACGTTTGAATCGTGTCGGCGCATCACAGCTCCAAGGTAAGTTATGCTGTGTCATGTGCACAACGCACGCACAGAATGAGCGTTCCCCGAGATGCTAAGTTTTGAAGACTCGCCCAAACTCTGTCGGGAAGTACATTACTTGATCAGCATATGAGGGGCGATCACATAAAAACACCGGTTCATCAACCTTTGAAGTGTATTGAGTGAATATCAAACTCTTATTCTGTTATAAGAAGCTTTCTATTTTAACCTTTTTGTTGATCTGTCCGTCATAAGGAAGTTCCAAGTCATACCACACTCAGCTTTAGATTTACAGTGATAGGAACTAGGGTTGCGAAGATCTCCCAAAATCTGTTGGGAAATTTAAGATAATCTGATAATAATTCTGCGAAAACTTTATCGGGCTAGTACCAAGGCATATCTGAACATTTCAATGAGTTGTTCACGTTTGTGCAATATAGTGTGAATGCTGGTATAAACATTTCCGTATCTTGATGACCCTGTTTTAAGTCCCTATTCCCGGAAGCAACCGTATTACACTTTCTCACAATACCAGACTATAATGCAGAGGGTGTAAGTCGGGAATAATACACTCATTAAATCTAACGCAGAAAGTCACCGTTTAAGGCAATGAGGCGCATGGGCTAAGGAATACTCACGCACATGTCCGTAACACAAGCCTGTTGAAGTGCGCATTTCTTGGAAAAATCAAATTTGGTTCGTCTGAGACAGACTCTCCTCTGAAGCGGCTTCGATCAAGTCGGATATTTCAGATCCAAAAGGCATAGTTTGTTTTAAAACTTCACCATTCCAGCACACACACACATTCCAGCAATTCTCCTCCCCGCTTACATAGTAATGCAGCTCTGCCGCGATTTATACTAGTGCTTGCTCCAGAGAGTGGTGCTGTTCATTCCTAGCTGGTTACGACAAACTGAAATGTATCTCACTGTGAAACTTGTCTGAATCAGAAGCGGCGAAAGATTTGCCGGGGACGGGCCATGACATGGAAACGAGAAATGAAAGCGGCTACTGACAAACGAAGTGTTGTGGGATTTTCGCGTCTTTGTGGTTTGAGGTCCATGTGATCCTGCTTGTAGGTGGTTGGAATTCCTGCAGGACAAGGCAAACAAACCACTCAGTGACGTTCATGCTGTCATTTCAAGGCCGGGTTGACTAGCTAGAGTTCGCCTGTCGTTTATGTCAGATGAGGTTCGCAAAAGACGCTGGAGTGATCCTGTTGATGGCTTCGCACTTCTACATGATGCTCAGAAGTGTTTACTTGCTTTCCAAAGATATAGGCATCTTATCCTTGCTTGCCCTATTTAAGGACATAGTGTTCCTTTGTACTAATTCCTTACCCTTCCATTTTCATTCACTATTTACTCAGGTTTTCTTCTCCAGCTGGTGTATGACAGTTGGGCACCACTGTGTCAGTTGTCAGTGATGTAGAAAGTTTACCGTCAATTCCTACCATTTGAAGCACATTAAAACCCAGCAGATTCTTCATTTTTCAACGACTTCCACTTTGTGTTTCAGTGAGTGAATTCCAGGGTTAAGTTGAAAGGTGGAAATGCCATTTATTTGAAGTGATTTTCATCCCAGTATCATAGAATACGTTCAGGCTGGGTCTGGATTCAACCACGTTACGATCATCAGCTTGACCTATTCACTTCTCACACAGATGGGGTGTGTTTGAATTTTGTACCGAAATAGCCACGAAACAGTGGCATACTTGTTATAGGAACGCTTCCATCACAAATACTTCATGACGTTAGGACTAATCTTTTAACATCACCAGATACTCACGTTACTGTTAACAAGCTCACCCCATCCTATTAAACCGATCTTGTTGGTTGAATGTGTACCTACTTAATGTTCAGTGCCTTCAGGAAGCAAGTTTTTGATTAGAATACTTGTAGGTGGTGGTAGCCTTAAAGATAATCAGTATTCCATTCGCATTTCGAGTAGATAAAGTTTTATGCTTCGTTAATCCCACAGAACAAAGCAGCTAGGTTGCAAGCTACCTGAATGTGAAGCCATGAGGCTAGATCACTGAACAATAAACTTTATCAGAAGTACTGTGTCCAATGATCATGGTTTCTGTTATATCTGCTGATTCGTGAGTCTGTGGTATCTGCTGCTGACCCGCTCCAGTGCCTAGTGTCGGAGAGAAAAGACTCACAGAAGGGAACACAACAGCTGTATTCCGAACAAGCGAGTGAGTGAGAGAGCAAAAGTTACAAAAGAGGACTTTCTGACAAGCTGTCTGATAGGCGTTAGTGAACACCCATCAACATCGATCGTGCCTCTGTGAAAAGCGTGAACGCTGATCACATTCGGTCGTGCTTCTGTGGCCGCAAGAACACTTTTCGGGTTTTGCTGAATTGATTGAATGACCGACTGGCCTGGATGCTTGCCGGCTTTCCAGTTGAGTTTTTGGTGGAGCGGTAGGTTCTGGGCGTTCTGAAGTTGCTTTCAGGAATCTGACCTTCCTGATAGTTTCAATGTGACATTCGAGGGTAGAATAATCCAAACTACATTACCTTGTCACCCAAAAGCATGCACTACAATTATTTACAATAATGACACCTTCCTTTACCTTGATAAATCATGCAGTTGTCCAGCTACTGAAACAATAGTTTCACTGTTTCTTCAGTTGCTCAGAATTTCACCGACATAAATCTAAGGCTGGGATAATTTATTAAAGCAATGTGGTTGTCTGTTTTTTCTTTTCAATTGACTAGTGGTGTTCACTGTTTGTGTGGTAGGGCAGGACTGCAGTCATCATTATAGTCATTATCCTCATCATTTCTGTCATCACAAACAACAAGTCATCTTTATGACCTTCGTCGTTATCGTCATTAGCAACATTGTCAGCAAGACCAGCGTTGATAATCGGTACTTCATTGAAGTCCAACCACACCATTTTATCTGAAGGAATTCTGAAGTTCGTAAACGAAAGCAAAAAAAGACACAGGTGGGAACATGGAAATTCCAGCCTACCACTGGCGGTCGAAATGCCTACCCCTGACAAAATTGATTCAGAAAACCTGGATGGAAACTGGAAGCACAGAAGGCATGGATTTTGATTCTGCACCACTTCGAATGTTTACGAGGTATCCACGCATCCGCTTCAACAGAGAGGTAACAACAACAGGTAGTTGTTGTCCCTCAAAAAACGCTTCAGAGGAACCGAGGCTAGAAACTGTTTTCTGATGGATCACAAGCCTGTTTGCCTTTATTTGAGTGGCCACAATTTTTTTCAGTTCCCTGCAAACTATATTACTCGCTCATCGATCTATATAGTTGCCTTAACAACCTTTCAGTTCGATTAGCCCCAACCATCTACACCCTGTCTTCATTCGACACGAACATACTTCCTTATTCGGTGGTAATATCCAAGCTTAGTTTGGAATAGCGGAATCAATAACCACGCACATTTGAGCGTTCATCGAGTGATTTTCGGAACAATGTTTGAACTCACATTCCATAGTATGTCTTGTGACTCACTACAATACACACAAGCCATTTAGCCACACTCATTTGCGGTACACTCTACTTTCAAGCCCACTAATCAGCTCCGAGCATTGCATTACAAAAAACTCAAATCTTATCTGTGTCATAGCTAGGTAGACTTCGATCTGTTATTGTGTGGTGTTCGTGATTGCTGATTTTTGCGGGGAAGTGATTCCTGTTGGATTACATCGACGCAAAAAACGCATCACATCTTTTAGATCTGCACTGATTAATTAAAGAAAAAGCTACCCTTAAAGGACGGAAGTCCTCATCCGGAGGTAGCTTATTGTAGATCCGATCACAAGGACTGAAGAGGTCATGTGTTATATGAAGAAGCAACGCCTCGACATCTCGAGTGTCCTACCACCTGAAACATGAAGCGGCCATTTTGCACCATATTGAGTTGAATAATGCCGCAAAAAAGAAGATTCAGCTGGGGGTTCATTTGGGTCTCCAGTTAACACCAAGTTTAATCGCAAATGAGAGTAGATGGCATCTACGTGTTCACTGTCGAATGACTCTATAGAATGGCAGATATACAGTAAACCTGATAGCGAGAACGAATTGTTTATCATTGGGGTGGGTTCGCAGTCCGATTTGGACGACTAAACTAAACTGACAGAACTTTGAAGGCTCGACCGTGTCCTTGTGGATCAACACGGTACGCACGTTCACGTGAACAAGATGGCACTAGGGAGATCGGGACCATTCTGTATGCTTAACATGTTCTACAGCATTGGGATGCACCGCATCCTGACGTTTCTCAAACCAGCATGGATACTGGTACTTCAGGCCTCACAATAAAGTGCCAGGCTAGCCTACGGTCCAAAACGAAAATTGCAGCTTTTCAAACTTACCCGCAAGATTCAGAAGAGTCTGGCTAACAACTCCAGATTTGTAGCTGTGAAGTGCTTCATTTTTGATACGAAAGCATTGTCACGCCAAGTGAATAGGTTACTAGGTTGGCAAAGTCATAAGACAGACGGACTGGAATTGCTGTTATTCCATAGGAACAACGGATATCGGAAGTTATCCGAAGGATTCTGAACAAGACCATCATAAGCGGAGTGTTCCGGAAAGAAAACGCTCTGCACTCGTGCAGTTCAGGGGTCGATTTCCAGTGAGTAGGACCGGGGACTGTGTCTACAATGACTGCACAAAGGTCTGCATGGGGCACGGTTACAGAGCTTCACGCCACGATCGATGGATACCAGAGAAAAATAAACTGGCCATTGAAGTAGGCAGATTGACATCGAGCGTTACTCAAAGACTTAGCAAGAGCAGGACATGCACTAGAAATGGGACACAATATACGTTTATAAACTGTTGAAGTTTTGAGACCCGGACGAGGATTCACGCTAAAAAGACCGATGGCTGAGGCGGTGGAAATCACCAAGCATCCCAGTACGAACAGGGTAGAAGGGGCAGAATTGGCGAGCGTGCGCACATCGGTTATAAATCGCTCGAGCTGAAACGTAGTAGGTCACGGTCATCAACGAAGAGGAGTCATGAACAGA